CACTGGTGGAGGGATGGGTATCTGATCATTGTATAATTGAAACCAAAGCACAAAAAATTGTAAATCTACAACTTTAAAAAAAATAAAATAAAATAAAGGGAAAAAAAATAAAAAAAAAATAGATTGAAGACTTAAACATCCAACTAGAATCCATAAGGTACATAAAGATAAGTTCGACAAAACCCTCCACAACATTGAAGCTAAAGGTATCTTCAAAGAATTAGTACCACTGACCAAGCAAGTGGAAATAGAGATAAACAAATGGAACTCTTAAATTTAGACGCTTCTGCACCTCAAAAGAAACAGTGACCAGAACACAAAGACAGTCTACAGAATGGGAAAGGATATTCACCTAATGCCCATCTGATAAAAGGTTGATATCAAGGATATACAAGGCACTGGTTGAACTCTATAAGAAGAAAACATCCAATCCCATCAGAAAATGGGATGATAAAATGAACAAAAACTCTCAAAGAAGAAATCTGAATGGCTAGAAGGCACTTGAGAAAATGTTCTATATCACTAATCATCAGGATGATGCAGATCAAAACAACAATCAGATATCTCACACCAGAGAGACTGGCACACATCCAAAAGAACAAAAGCAACCAGTGTTGGAGGGATGTGGAGAGAAAGAGACTCTCCTTCACTGCTGATGGGAATGCCGACTGGTCCAGCCTTTTTGGAAAACAAATGGACATTTCTCAAAAAAACTAGAAATTGAGCTACCATTTGACCCATCAATACCGCTTCTGGGAATATTTCCTAGAGATGCAAAAAAGTACAGTAGAAATGACATCTGCACTTGTGTATCTATTGCAGCAATATTCACAATATCCAGAATCTGGAAAAATTCCAAGTGCTGCAGAAAAGATGACTCGTTAAAGAAACTTTGGTATATCTACACAATAGCATACTATGCAGCTGTTAGCACTGTAGCACTGTCCTCCCATTGTTCATCGATTTGCTCGAGTGGGCACCTTTAACGTCTCCATTGTGAGACTTGTTGTTACTGGTTTTTGGCATATTGAATATGCCACAGGGAGCTTGACAGGCTCTGTCATGTGGGTGGAATACACTTATTAGCTTGCCAGGCTCTCAGAGAGGGACAGAGTAATTGAACCCAGATCGACCACATGCAAGGCAAATGCCCTAAGCACTATATTATCTTTGCAGCAGCTTTTAGAAGAAATGAAATCATGAAATTTGCATATAAGTGGATGGATATGGAGAGTATTATGCTAAGTGAAATGATTCAGAAAGAAAGGAACAGGCATAAAATGACTGCACTCATTTGTGGAATATAAAGTAACATAATAGGAGACTAACACCAAAGGATAGTAGAGATAAAGGCCAGGCGATCACCCCACAACTTGGAAGCAGGTCTCAAGTGCTTGGAAAAAGGGCAGCTGGGATAGAGATGGGACCATTGAGTAAATGATGATTGGAAGGCCTGCTTGAGATGAGAGATGCTGAAAGTAGACATATTTAATATGCCACAGGGAGCTTGCATGTTGGCCACATAGTAATTGTATTGCAAACCATAACAAACATGTTGGCCACATAGTAATTGTATTGCAAACCATAACACCCAAAGGAAGAGAAAGAGTGGGAGGGAATGTGCCTGCCACAGAGGCAGGGTGTGGGAAAGAGTGGAGTGGTTGGAGAGATACTGGGAGCATTGGTGGTGGAGAATGGGCACTGATGGAAAGATAGGTATTCGATTATTGTATGACTGAAATGTAATCAGGAAGGTTTGCATGTCTGGAACTGTATCTCACGGTGTTTCATTAAAAAATAAAAGTGGAGAGGAAAAAAAAGTATCATGCTGAGTGAAGTCTGTCAGAGGGAGAGTGACACAGAACAGTCTCTCTCTTTTGCAGGATATTAAGAAACATAGTAAGGGTATAACAAATACCCAAAGGCAGTAGAACAAAGAACATGATAACTGGTCTTCAGTAGGAAGTGTACTATTTGGATGAATAGGTTTAGGGGGTTCGGGTAGAGTAAGTCAGAAGAAAACACTACAAAAATATTTGAGCGAAGGGTTTACCTAGAGGTGAGGGAGTGCTGAAAGATGACAGTGTTAATGATGAATCCCTACCAGTAATAGCCAAAACTTATAAAAGTTCCTGCAGGCAGGCTGGTGGGTTTGAGAGAAATAGAATGGGGGAGATCAGTGAAGGGATGTGGACAATGGTGAAGGGATAGGTGTTGCAACCTGATCATGACTAACTTTAGGTCTTCTCTGTGGATTAAATGAAATTTTAAAAATCAATGGCAGCTTTATCCAAAGCATTATCTAGATTAACTAAAAACCCCTGTAAAAATCTCCGTGGAATATTTTTATGTCACAGATGAAAGGTGTTAAATTTTCTGTGGATTAATAAAGCACTGTCATGACCATAGCAATTCTAGGGAAAATGGTAGGAGACTTTCCTTTCCCCAACTGTAAATTTTATTATAAAACTATTAACCATCAAGATAGTTAATACCAGAATATAAAATAGCTTCTCAGAACAGTATGTAATGGAAATGAGAGCCTAAAGCCAGGAAATGACACCCAAATCTTCAACAAAGGAGAAAGAACTGTGAAGTGAAACAAGGAAATTCTCTGCAACAAATGGTGCTGGGAATCAGCCACATGTACAAACACTACTAGTTATCTTGTACCTTACACAGATGTCAGTTCAGAATGGATTAAAATGCTCCATATAAAATTTGAATCTACCGATGATATTGGAAAAATATAGTTTGAACCCTTCATGTAATTGGATCTTGAGTCATCTTCAGTGTCTCAATGCCACTGGCCAAGCGAACAGAAGCAAAAAGAAACCAGTGAGCTACATCAAATTGATAGTCTTCTATTCATTTTAAAAGAAATGGTAATTAGAATAAAAAGACACCCCAAAGACTGGTCAAAGATATTTGATCACCCATTTCTAAAACTTGACACAGAAAACACTTTTTTTAACACAGAAAACAATTTTTTTTAACGGGGACAGGACACAAATAGACACGTCCTTTAAAAAATGTACAAATGGCCAATTGATAAATTATTTTCATCACTTATCATCAGAGAAATGAAAATCAAATTAGCAATTAGATATAACTTCAAACCTGTGGATTAGCACACTCAGAACAACCCTGCTGGCAGGCATGTGGGGAGAAAGGAACTCCCATTTACCACTGGTGATATTGTCAACTAATTCAACCTGTTTGGAAAACAAAATAGACAATTCTCAATAAATTAAGAATTGATCTAATGTAAAATCTAGCAGTTCCACTTCTCAGTATTTACCTCAAGAGCCCCAAAACACTACTCCAAAAATGACATTTTTACTCCTATGTTCATTGAAGCGCTATTTCTTCAAAATTAAAATTATGGCATGTCTTTAGTTTTAGTTTGTTGTTCTATGATTTTTAGAACATATTTTGCCATGTTCTAAAAATGATGAAATGGGTCAGAATCTTTGTAAGCTTCCAGGTTAAAACCACATGCATTGAATTTAAATAGTACAAAATTTATAATCTAAATATATGTATGTTATATATGTGTATATATATACTTAATTTTTATGTATTTGGTGGGATTGGAATTGTACTTTTGGGTCACACTTAGATAAGCCCTGGGATTACTCCTCAATTTGTGCTTAGGGCTCAAACCTGGATTTGTGCCCAAGGTTCATTCCTGTCAGTGCTTGTGAGACCAAATGTGAGTGGCAGGGATTGAACCTGGGTGAGCTGCATGCAAGACAGTCGCCTGCCTTATCCTCTGTACACTCTGGCCCTTTGGGATGTATTTTTGCTGAAACAGGATTATCTACTAGTTTTCAACTTTTCTCTTTTCATACGTGGAGACTTCCTCTTACACCTGAATGAGACTTTAAAAGATATAAATGAGAAATATGAATCATTTTTTTCCTCTCATTTGCTTGCTTCCTGGAAACTTTCTAAGCATTCCATGCCTTCACCACACAAACAAGTATAATACTCATGACTTATAAAATAGTAAAAGCTTCATTAGTCATTGCTGAGAACTAGAATTACTCTAATAAAGTTTTCTATAATCTGGCTTCAGTTCCTTTTCATGTATCTTGCTCATTAAGTTGTCATGAAAACAGTTACACCTAGTACATTGATATAATAGATATGTTTTCTATTACCCAGAGTAGTAGAACTGCAGAGCCATATTTTGTGTTTTTACTGTTTGTTTTGGGGCTGGAGCAATAACACAGTGAGTAGGGTGTTTGCCTTGCATGCGCCCGACCCGTGTTCAATTCCTCCATCCCTCTCAGAGAGCCTGGCCGCACTGGAAAGCCTGGCAAGCCGTGGCATATTTGATATGCCAGAAACAGTAACAACAAGTCTCACTTCATGTTCCTGGAGCGAGCAGCCCCATTAGACTGAACACACAACAGGGACGAATGGAGACATTACTGGTGCGTGCTTGAGCAAATCAATGAACAATGGGAGGATAACACTACAGTGCTACTTTTTTTTTGAACATACATACATTTCTTAATTTTTTTACAGGTCATGCTCAATAGTTTGGGTTCCAGAATCATTCTGGGCAGTGCCTGGAGACATTAAACTTAGGATCTCACATATGTGAGGCTTTGTGATCTACTATTGAGCTTCACTACCAGTTAGAATACTTTGAGACACAAATACTTTGAATGAGACAAATAGAAGGTCTTACTTTCATTATATCCTAATATTTTACCATAGGAAAATGTAGCAAGAGTATTATATACTTTATAAAAGTCATTTTTTCACTTTATATATTATGAAATTTTCACAAAAGTCTTATTTGCTGATTTATCTTTGTATTCCTTATCATTCTTCATAAAAACAACAAGGGTCTTCAGGCTTATCCTATTAAGATGATTGGGTTATGAAAGAGTAATTTAAATTTGCCAACTTTGGTGGTTATTTACTTCATTCAAATGTGGAGCAGAATGAAAAGAATAATTTTATTCTATTTTCTCTTTTTACAGGCTCTGTATAACTCAATCAAGAATGAGAAGCTTGAATGGGCAGTGTAAGTATACTGGCTATTAGTTTTTTTTCATAAATTAACTACTTGACCTTTTTTCTTTCTTAGTTTATGCCTAAAGATGATCCAAGAGAAGGATTGAATATGTATCATGGTTATCATTATACACCAGTAGACATCTATACTAGTATACTATAGATGTATATTATACATCTGTACTATACACATCTTCTATGTGTACAAACTAAATAAATCCCAAATATCTTGATTACATCTTGATTTCTTGGTACCCGGCCTGTTCCTAATCTTTTAATCTTTATCTATGTCAATAGGCAGCTCTATTAAGGTGTAATAAAAGAAAATATAATTCATATATTCCAGAATGCAATGGAAATTATTTTGGGGCTGGAGCGATAGCACAGTGGGTAGGGCATTTGCCTTGCACACAGCCAACAAGGCCGAGACGAGTTCAAACACAAGTTCGATTTCTCCACCCCTCTTGGAGAGCCCAGCAAGCTACCGAGAGTATCTTGCCCACATGGCAAAGCCTGGCAAACTACCCGTGACGTATTCGATATGCCAAACACAGTAACAACAAAGTCTCACAATGGAGACGTTACTGGGCCTGCTCGAGAAAATCGATGAACAACGGGAGGATAGTGGACAGTGGACCCTCCAATTATTATAATTTTTCTCCTATCATAATAAATCATGGGTTTTTAATACTGTTTCTTTTACACTAATCATGCAGGTATCATAGAGTGGAGAATGAACAGGAGAAAAGATGATTGCATGCAACCATTCTCAGTTCATACCCAGTATCAGTAAAGTTCTCTTGGCACCTTCCAGAAGTCAATGCTGAGCTCAAAGCCAGGAATAACTAACCCCCAAGCACCAATAACCCCCCCACTCAAAAAATTAAATCCCTTTAACTATGCCAGTACATTGATGGATATTGTTCACAAAATGAAAAGAAAAAGTTCTGTAGATACATATACCTTGAGAAATATTAAGTTAACTAAGCTAGAAAAAAATTTTAACTCAGAACTTCTGGGAACCAATCATGTAATACTAGATATTATCGCTCTCCTTAAGAGGAATAGAATTTCATAATACCATATCAGTTTTATATTAAAAAGTAGAGTTTAAGGTATGTACTTTAAGAGAGCTAATAGAAGTTGAATTGTACCTAATTTTATATTGACTAAATAAATAAGAATTAGGAATTGGACAGACTATAGCAGGTAAGGCACTTGCCTTGTATGCAACTGACCAAGGTTCAGAAACCCCAACACTGCATATGTTCCCAGCACCCTACTGGGAGTAATCCTAAGCACAATCAGGTGTTCCCCTAATAATCTACAATGATAAATACCTTTCTAAAAATTTTTGTTAGCCCTCTGTATGAAATATCTGTTTAGCTCTTCTAATTTTCTGAGGGAATTTTTGTTCGCTTGTTTCATTGTTGTAATTTGTGAGAACTTTACACATCTTGGATATTAGCCCTTTGAGATCAGCCTTTTGTTCCATTCAGTAAGTTTTCTTCTTATTTTAGTCATAGTTCCTTTCACAATGCAGCTTTTTACTCTGATATACTTCCATTTGTTTATTTTTGTATTTAGTATCCTAGATACTGGAGTCCACTCACTGAAATCTTCCTAAAGTTATTTTCATAGGGAGTTATGCCTATGCTTTTCTCAATTTGCTTTACAGATTCAGGGTGAATACTGACTTTTTCATTAGATTTTGTATTATTTTTCAGGATGTGATATTGGTCCTGTTGGATAAAATTGCCCCCTCCCAACCCACCCTACACCCACCCCACGCCCATGGGGAGCTTAGGTTTATTGAGTAACACCCATGACAATGTTTCTGAAGCACTCCCATTTCCTCAGTATTCATCTTATACTTCTTCTTTGAGTTCTGCTTCCCCTATCCATTAATCACTTATTTCTCCTAATCAAAGCTTGTGACTTGTAAAGTCAGATTCCTCAGAGGAGTCTGGATTTTGTATTTGTAAGTGAAATATCAGTTTTTTCTTTCCCTTATGTCATTGTTAGAGCAATGTCCTTTTTGGATAAACACAGAAAGACAGTTAATGCTATGCTTTTGTAACTTGGGAGTAAATTGACTCTCAATAATATTTATTCCTGGGCATCTGTCATATTTACTCCACTTATGCCCCAGCTGCCCTTAGTTCCTAGCACCCCAAAAAGTGGGTCCTGGCAAGGTCTTGCATGGACCCAGGACAAACTGTGAGCTATTTTGGCATCGAAAAGGGACAGTTCAAGTGCCATAAAACTATAATAAGTTAAGAGCACTGTCACAAACAAATACTCTCATAACCCATAAAGAAGTAACTGGATAAGGACCTGACTGAGATAGGAAAGACTAATCTAGCCTGAGGGCTGTAGTCTGGGATCCCCAGGAGAGCCACCCTTTAAGCTTAATATATCTCTTACTGTGTCCATACAAAATGACTAGAACTATTATTAAGTAGTAAATTTAAGATGACCATTTAAATGGATATGCACTAAGGAAAGAAGAAATTAGATGAAATTCTGCCCTTGGGCTGGGTGGGTCTCCTAGCAAGAGGTGATATTTTCCTAGAAGAGCTTCCCAGGAAGGAAGGGCTTTACATATGTTTTTTGTGTTATCTCACCAATGTAGAATTGTTCCCCCCAACCCTGATGATTATGCTCTATAACTAAGGCTGTGAGACTGGGCATGGGAAAGACTGGAATGAGATACAGTGTGAGCCTGGAATGGGGATGGAAACACCAACCAGCCTGGCCTCCATTCTCTCCTTCATGTGTGCATTGGTGGCAATGGTCAGGGTGGGGAAGCAGCTCATGGCCACTGAACACACACTTCATGCACCCACACATTTTGAACACACTCCTGTTTCATTCTTTTGCATGTAGTCAACTAGTCTTCCCAACACTCTTTTCCAAAGGCCTTCCTACCTCCACTTAATGATCCTAGCCTCTTGGTTGAAAATTAATTTTCAAAGTATCTAAGGATTTTATTACTGGTTTCACTTCTATCCTACTGATCTGAAAGTCTGCTTCTACCCAGTACTCTACAGTTTTGATGACTGTAGAGAATGCACACTGGCATCCATCTTCGGGGTTTTTTTTTAATTGCTTCAGGTATTTGGGTAGTTTAATAGCTCTACATATATTTTAGTAATATTTTTCCATATTCCTCAGGATTTTTTTATAGATTGCAATAAAACTATGCAGTCCTTTGGTTCAAATAGTCATTTTAATTGTGTTAGTGCATTTCATCCATAAGCATGGAACAGTTTTCCACTTCCTTATATTTTCTATTCTCTATAGTGATTCATAGTTTTTATTAAATGTCTTTTAGTTACTTTATTAATTCCCAGATGCTGTGTAATTCTGCTGCCCAGAGCTTCTAATGACTTCCTTATATCACATACCATACTCTTCATTTCTGCTTATGGTTTTCTCATTTCTCAACTCTCATAGGTTCTTGTGCTTTCCTCACTAACTTTGCCATCATTTCTTTGAGCTCATTATACATCCTTAGCAGGGTGTCATTAAGATCATTTTCTGAGGATTTACAAAACTGATTGGAGTTGTTGTTCTTCATGTTATTGTTCTTACTCATTGAACTTCATGGGCTTCTACATACTTTCTTCATTGATTTTTCTAGTGTTCCTGCTGAGTAGGGTTGATTTTTTGAAGTTTTCATACCCATGAATTAACATAGTAAATTGAGGGGCTGTTGCTGCTGTGATGTGTGTGCATTCGATGGCCCAGAGCCACCTTCCCACCTCCCCAGGCCTCCCCCAAAGAGACAGAGACACGGAGATGGGGAACCACAGCTTGATGGTGAAAATGGCCCATTTAATGTACAGCTGCTAGCATACTTATAGAACATCTGAGAATTAAGGTAAGGACATAGGTGTGATTTGTCATTTACATAGATAAACATTTGGCAGAGGAAATTCTCTTGGGGAGATTAATTCAAGGAGGCACTGTCTCCCAGGGACACCTATCTTGCTTTTATCATTCCCTCTAGTTGTATAAGTTATCAATACTTGCAGTTGTTTGGATAAACACAGTAAAAGACAAGGATCCCCAAACTTAATTCTCTGGGCTCTGAGAGCAAGGCTTTTACCATATATCCCAGAATAAGTCTTCAGGCCAGTTCAGCTTGTCCTTCCCCATGGGGGTCCTGTGTCTTTAAGTCATAGCAGCTTGCATCATGTTCATGCATTTGTGCTTTCTCGAGTGTCCAATTTAGATGCCAGGGTAGCTTTGCCTCTTGCCCCAGGTCCATCCCAGTCCCATAGAACTATAACAACTGAAGCCTGAGTCAAGTAATTATGACCAAGTAATTATTCCCAGTAGTATATATATATTTCACATTCAATCAACTCCCAAATATTAGGAGCATAACAGTAATGGTCTTTCTCTGTTTAACCAAAGAAAATTGCTCTATAGTAAAATATAAGAAGGCTGTAGAGTAAATATAAAAGCAGGTACAAATACAGAGTACTTCAAATACAAAGCATTACACATACAAAGTTCAGAATTATCAGAAAGTTTTGGCTTGTAAGTAATCAAGACTGACTTGGGGGACTGAGAGAATGAGAGGTAAAATATAAAGGAAAGGTTAAAAATAAACTTTAAATTAGGGATTCACAGATGAAGCCTAAAACACTTTGAGTTAATTAATATCCAACATCACGCTCTGGAAGACTCTTTCCCTTCTCTTCCCATCTTCACCAAATGACAGGACATATAATTGTGAACAGTGTATAATTTGCTGAGTACATAAGTTGAGTCGCTGCATAAGTAGAGGGCCAGGAGCTGCAATATGGGCCCAATATGGTGGAAATTTGGTGTGGAGACTGCTGAAACCTAACAGGAAGGAGGGGTCTGTTTTCACTTCCTAGTTGCACCAGCTCTCTCAGATGGAGATTAATCTCACCTGAAAGGGTAGAATAGTAAGATTAGGTTTCTAGTTTGACTTCTTATTTTCTGATTTCAATTCCTTTCATTCATTTTTCA